GCCCCCGCGATGCCCTGACTTCGCCCCGCGGGGACGCGCACAGGGAGCGCCCGCCCGCGAGAGCGTCCCGCTTCCCTCGAAGCCAGCGCCGTGACTTCAGATCCCCCCCCGCGAAGGAAAGTCAGGGCGAGCGGGAGCGGTTTTCAGGAGAATTTCTTTATTGGGCTGCACAGAGGAGGTGTAACAGGGGAGCAGCGGTGGCCTCCGCGGGTGAGTGTCAGTATTTGCTGGGAAGGCCTGAAGGCCTGAAGCGGTTGGGATCCCCGCCATTTCTGCCCCACACGTTCGCCTCTTGGTCAGCTCGGGTGTCTTCTGCACCTCTGCCGCTCACGTCGCTTTGCCATTTCTCCCGGGCGTTACTAGCAGGAAGAAAAAAGGGCACCTGAACCAACCAGCATTTAACTCCACTTTGTGTTATGTCCTTGCACATGTAAACTAGCTTTTCCACAGGGCTTCTCAACGTGAGGTGCAAGCACATATTCAGTCCTTGTCTGAGAACCACAGTGGAATCCGTAAGTGTTATGTCAGGAAACAAACCAGCAAGGAAAGAGAATTCCTTATCACCAGAAGTGCAGAGGTAAGGAATCTGTCTTGTTGGGAGGACAAGAAGAAAGGCTCACGCTCACATGGAGGAGAGGCACCATTCCTATAGAGACAGGCTGTTCAGGCATTAACTGCTTCTCCTCCCCTCCACTCTCCCAGGTCAAAAGCTGAGTATAAGTCAAAAAGCACTTCACTCTAACTGGAATGCCTGGATCCCTACTAACTCACTGTTAACAAGTCAAATACACTCCGTTACCTGATCACTCTGGCTGCCCAAGCACCACCAGGTCCTCTTCGGGCAGCATCATAATTCCCACGAGCATGGAAATATTTGTCAGCACCTTTATAATTTGCCTCGCGCATGTCCTGGTATGCTCTGTACATATCCCGTGCCCCTGAAGAAAGAGAAACAGAGATGATGTTCACTTTAAAGAGTCATCCCAGAAACAGTTAAGTACCATTTCAGCCAGGAGCTGAAAGACCCAAGGAGCAGTAACACAGAGAGGCACTTCTCCACACCGGCCTTTGCATGGGGCTGTGCCCACAGAAAGGACCTGTGCGGGCTGATCAAGGCCCTCTCCCAGCAGCAGACACCAGCAGGGTCCCTCCTGTGGAGCTGCAGACCTCCCAGCTCCGAGGATTGCATCCGTTGCCTGCCAGTAACCTGTGCTTGGGGAGGGGGTTCATAGAATCATAGAATCGTTAAGGTTGGAAAAGACCCATAAGATCGAGTCCAACCGTTAACCTAGCACTGCCAAGTCCATCACTATACCATGTCCTCGAGCACCACATGTATCCATCCTTTAAATACCTCCAGGGATGGAGACTCAACCACTTCCCTGGGCAGCCTCTTCCAATGCTTCCACCCTTTCTCGGTGAAGAAGTTTTTCCTAATATCCAACCTAAACTTCCCCTGGCACAGCTTGAGGCCGTTTCTTCTCGTCCTATCACTTGTTACTAGGGAGAAAAGACTGACCTCCACTTCGCTACACCCTCCTTTCAGGTAGTTGTAGAGAGCAATAAGGTCTCCCCTCAGCCTCCTCTTCTCCAGACTAAACAACCCCAGTTCCCTCAGCTGCTCCTCATAAGGCTTGAGCTCTAGACCCTGAGAGAAAGGCCCGTGGTAACAGCAGCTTACCTCCCAGTGCATCCCAGACAAATCGTCCGCCTTCACGTATGCCAGCACTTGCACACAGAGCAAAGGAGAGCAACACGAGGCAGACACAGAGCCTCATGGTTCCAGGCCCAAGCCTGACAGGGAGCTGTGAGACAATCAGAGAGATGAGCAGTTCTGGAGCACCTTTCAGAGACTGCTGACATAGCATCCATCAATCACACCCATAGCTGTACCCCAGCGTTGATGGCTAGCCCAGGAACCCGCTTGTACCCCCACAAGCACTGATGCCCTCTGTGCAACCACAAGCTCAGCTAAGGACTCTGCAACAGAGGCAGATGGACATGAGACACTTGCATTTAGCAGCATTCCCTGCTGCTCCTATCATGAATACAGAGAAGCCCCACATGTGAAAGCATTAGTCCTGTTCCCAAATATCAGCTAAAAACAGTGCATATAGCTCACAAATTCAGAATATCACTCACCACTGCAGAAAAGCAAAGCCAAAGAAGATGGAGCTTGTCTGTGTGCTCTCAGACTCAGAGAGGGTATTTATAAGGAATTAAAACACCACAAAAGAGGAAATTGGAAAGGATACATGGCTGGGAATTCCCCTCACCACTCCAACAGAGAAATCATTACGGTAAGCCTGTCCTTGTCCTTACTGAAGGTTCATAGCTCCTGTTACACAATTTTTTAGAAAGTATGTGGTGCTTCAGCTGTCCACAGGACTATTTGCTCCTCTTAACAAGCAGGCTGAGAAACTGCCTCCAAGGCTGAAGTGTTCTGTGTGCTGGAAGTGTTACAGCTGGCTTAAACGTGGCACTTCTGTTTGCCTCTTGTGCTGGACAGAGCTCGGAGGAGAAGGTGCCTGATCATCTGCACTGTACGCTGAAGCACAAAGTTGGGTCCGTGTCTGTGCATAAGGAACGGTCAGCTGTGTTACCAGAGTGGCTGCAGGAATGGCCAAGTGAAATTCCCATGCGTGCTGGGATGACAGGATGGATCCCAGAGTTGATGGAATGGAAAACGTGAAGTGTTGCTCTTAACTGTATTGCAAAGCAACCCGCATACGCCTCTGTCCCTGCTGATAATGCTTTAAGATAGTGCACACACATGCCACCAGAAGGCAGGCCTGAAAAGTTCATCCTGCCTTTGTGCTTGCTTGCACAGATCCTTCTCTAGGGACTTCCAGCCATCCTGCTGCAAGAGTGGCCCAGTGGGGCTCGGGTGGGCTAAACTAAGGAGAGTTTTTGATGCAGCAGTAAACATTTTACCTAAGGGGAAGTTCAGATCCATACAGCCACAACTCTGCTAGGTTTTAAGATTGATATATTAACTCTCAGGCCCTATTGGCATGGTTCACAGTTTTGAGTACCCACTGTGCTCTCTCTGCTTGGGAGCCTGCTTACTGCTTGCTTCCCTTGGTTAACAACTGACACGACTGTTTCCCCTGCAGAAAGCTCTGCGTTTGAGTGCAGTTGCACTGCAGAATGCGTGTGCAGAATGTCTCCCCGTTGTGTAGTCTCATACATGATTGAACAAGTCTGAGAGAGCTTCTTTAAATCCTCTGCAGAAGAGGTCTGTATAGTTGCCCCATTCACACTTTAAACAATTAGCCGCTGCAGCGGGAAGGGCAGAGGCATGAGGTGAAAGAGGTGCAGTAACAAACTGATCATTACTAATGAAGTGCCAGCAGCTAACTTCCCTGGGCACCGCTGGACTTCAAGCAAGAATTTAGCTTAAGGGAAGAAGAGACATTTCCACAGACAGGCCTGGAGCAGCAGGGCAGATATTGTCTAGTACACTGCATCTCTGAGTGGAACAAGATGAGAATCTAAACCCTAACCCAATGGACAAGGAAACTATGCAAAAAGCAGGGGGCCAGACACATAATTTTGTCCCCTGCCACCTGTGAACTTGATGCTTAACAGTGTAACAGCTCAGTTACCGCAGAGGAGTAATCAGAATGTTGTGTTTTGCTGCAACTCTCTTCACGTCCTAGTGATGACTTACATCCTTACAGCACATGTCAGCTCAAGAGGGGATCTTTAGAAGATCTCGGATTGCATCCCCTTGACTTGCCTCCAGCAAGGAGGGCAGCAGCAGCGACAACAATGCTGGAGCTCCCTACAGTAACTATGATTAAGCACCAGCTTTGTGCTCCAGCAGGGAACAGCCCGAGCACTGCTTTCCCGGATCCTCGTGGCCTGCTTTCTGGGTCACAGCCCTTGGCCCACAGAAACAAGCTGCAGCCAAAACTCTTGCTTTTGCAACAGAAATAGGCAAGCTGTCTCTGCGTGCGCAGAAGGGCTTGAATGGAATGTTTCCTTCTGGCCTAGCACTAAAACACGGGCTGCGTGCGCACACTGGGTAAACATAACACATACAGAGGGCTCTGGGAGACTGCGTTACGGGTTTGTACATTCTGATGTAGTTAAGATAAAAAGCAACCTCCAACTGGTTGCCTTTTAATTCTAAATATCTATAAATGCAAGCTACATTCTGCAAACATTTTGCAATGTAGGCATTTTGCAATCTAAATAAGTCTCAGATTGAGAAAGGGGACAGGGTAAATTCCCAGCTCAGGCACAATAATAGATGCAGTTATTCTGGGAAGTAATAAGACCTCATCGAAGTTTACATAGGCAATAATTTGCTTCAGGAGCTTTGCCATGCTGCTGTATGGAGTATTCACTAGCACTGGCCTCAGGCTTATAGACGTGTAGAATGACGGCAAACTTGGTCCCTCTTCAAGAAACAGATTTCATATGCAGATGTTTATCTTAAATAAAACCGATTTCCCCATAGGTTTTGATGATGTTTCTAACAGTGAAATAATGTTTTGAGGCACGTATAAGGCTTTTGTTTGGG